ATCTATCTATCTATCTATCTATCTATCTATCTATCTATCTATCTATCTATCTATCGATTCGTCTTTTATAATAATATCGTTCACTCACTCTCTTTCTCCCATTTCTCTTCCCTCCCCCCTCGATCTCTCTTATCTCCCTATCTACCGTACTCGCACAGATAGCTTATCCGTATCATGATCTATATATCTGCATCGTCATGTTGTATTTATGTTACGTCTCTGGTACAATACAGGTCCTGAAAAAAAAATAAAGAATACTAATTTTTGTTATTACATATAAGTTACCGTAGTTATGAAAGAATATACTCCTTTTTCGCGCGTAGTTTATATTTATCTTCTTTCTCCGCTTTCTTCCCACACGCTTCACGAAAGTCGGCAAGAAAAAATGTGTATCGTCTGCCTGTCGAGCTGGAAGCGAAATAGAGCCAAAAAAAATTGGGTTTCGTTTGTTTCTGCGCGTGAGAGCGAGCAATTTTCTCCAAAGAATATCAAGCACAAGGTTACGCCTCACACACAAAACAAAGATTTATTGTTTTTATTTTAACACATTTTGCTGTTGGCTCAGAAAGCAGATAAGTCTCTGCAGTAAATAATGAGCTTCCACAGCAAGGCTGTTGGTTTCTCTCCCTGCTCTTCGGTTTGGAGTTTGTCCTCAGAACATCGCAAACATCTGTTCATCATCAGCAAAAGTGCTGAGAGGAATAGTTGGTTAAACGTGAATGTGAGTAAAGTTTTAGAGGGGGGGAATTAGCTAAATGTAGCCTATGATGTATCCAAGTAAAAGCTTGAGGGAATTTGGCTGATTGTAACCTAAATTCCCGAGTAGAAGTTTTATGGGAATAATTACGTATAGCCTTAATATCTGTGTAAAAGCTCGAGGGGGTTTGGCTAAATATAACCTTAATACCGAAGTAAAGGTTTTAGGGGAATAATTAAGAAAATTCCTTAGCAGTAATATCTCAGTGAAAGTTTGAGAGGAATAAGACAAATGTAGCCTTATTATCTGAGTATGAGTTTAAGAGGGCATGGAGTATCAGCTATGCGTAGCCATTATATTTGAGTATAAGTTTGATGGGAAATAGGTTTGAGAGAACATATGAGAGTACATGTTTCCCCGGGGCAGGGGGAGGGTGGGGGTCGTGTGGATAACTAAGTGTACGTATATGACCAAAGCTGTGAGACAAATATCTGCTAAGTGTATTTCTGAGTAAATAATTTGAGGGGTATTACAATTGATTATAGGTTTCAGGAGAATTAAGTAAGTGCTCATCTCAGTACAAGTTTTAGGGAAATTAGCGAAATCTGAATCTTGATGAATTGTTTCAAACTCAAGCGGTTGGCATCAAAGCCAATTTAACAATTGCACTTACCTTTCTTCCTCAAGTATCTGATTTAAAAATATAAATTGATGTACAACTATAAGAAACTTTGGCTTTCTTTTTTGTACCTTTAAAAGTGAACTGAGAAACCGCAGAAATCAGCCGGAGTCCGTGGTGTAGCCCTAAGGCTTTTCGCCGATGCACACACCAGACTTGAGTTTGATTCTCGAATGGCGGGGGGAGGGGGGTAGTTAATTTTGAATGATCACCGTCAGATTATTGTTGTAATCCCACTCAGCCCAGATTTGTCTGACAAGCAGGGTTACAGTAGCCTGCCTCCTAAATGACCGAAACTGTGTCAATCGTGGTACACAAAACAGAGTATTGTCTAAATTATGAATTTTTGTCAAATTCTGAAATTCAACTTTTTTCTTCGATCTATTTGAAAGTGAACAACGAAAAGTTATGTCCTCTCTTTCCCCACATTCTGTTTTTCAGCATAGAGTGCACCAGATGTGTAACAAAATGTTCTTGGTTTTCATCACAAAGGTTCACGGTTCACACCTATTAAAATACCCTTCACCCCCAACCAGACAAAGAGATGTATATCAACAACCTCCCCCCCCTCCCCCAACCGCCCACAACCAAATAAAAAAAGTATATCTACACACCCAACCACCACCACTATACCCTCCCCCCCTTTCACCCTTTTCCTAAATAAAATAAAATAAAAACAAACAAAAGAGAAAAAAAGAACAACAACAACAACAACAACAAAAATACACCCCAACATATTTCTTTCCTCACAATAGCAAAAAATATTCTGAACTTAGGAAGAAAGAAACTGGGAGAATGAAAGAAAACAGAGAAACAAGGCCGCATAGGACAGAAAGAGGGCAAAGCAATTAACAAAACGAGCAGCTGATCGGCAGACAGAAAGAAGACATTCTTCCTAGTAAGCTTTTTTGGACGTACTTCAAACGCCATTCCCACAGAACGTAAAGATGGAGATACTTGAAGTTATGGAAGTGAGCGGAGGGAAGGGGTGGAAGGGGGTAGGGGTGGAGGGGAGGGGCATAGAGGGGTTGGAAGAAAGAGGGATGCTGGTTGTTCTAGTAGATAGTTTGGAAGGGATTTAGGAGATGGGTGAGGTGGGATGGGTGGGGA